GGTCGTGTGGAAGACATCATTCTAGGTAGATTTCCAGCCAAGGAAATACAATAACCTACGTTTTTAATAGGTAACCGAGAATTAGCAACCTCTAGCTAAATATTGTGCTTCTCAGACCCTTTTTGTCGATTTGAAACCTATGGCTAAATGCTTTTTTCGAGAACGCTACTCCTGATCAGATGTCTAGACTGCTGCTCAGTGCCTCTGGTTATCGTTAATAATCCCTTCATCCCACCCTTAAATTTGATTAATCCTCCTATTCCTAAGATTTGACCCCTCACGATGTAAATTTACTAGCCAGATGGCTGTTTTTTTTAGGCAGTAGTCCATTCGTCAGATATTTATCGAGTTTTGGATCAACCGAATGACTTTGTTTTCGAATTTTAGTGGCTGGAGTAGAAGATGCGGTCTGGGCAACGGCGTTAGTGATCGCTTTCTTGAAAACAAAGGTCGCTGATCGCCGGCTGGAATGGAAACTTATGTCAAAGAAGGCCCAAGGCTGGCTCGCCAGCACGCTGAAATCGAATATACCGGTGGATGAGTTAATCAAGGAGGCCACCTCTGTGCTTGAGGCCACTTCGAACGCTGTGAAGCCGCAGAAGTAATGTACCACCTGAATTCTGTCCACGTTTACCGAGTATTTTCATTTTGGCAAACGAATGTTTTGAAATTCGGAAAGAGATTTATGTGACGTCCATAGAATGCTTAACTGTATGTTCTTGATACCTTGCTTGAAGCCCATTTTATTCCTGTTTTCTTTTAACCTCAAACGATATCTTCCTTGCCAATGTCACATTCTATTTAATTTATAGAAACAAACGTTTTTGCACTTTTTGATATGACAACGTTAATCTAAAAAATATGGAGTTCAGTGGTACACATTTTTGAGCGTACGTTGAATACGCCGCATCCTCGTTTTCCCGGCCAATCCCTAAATACCTTGTTAGCTGCGTCCATACACGCAACTGCTTCCTGTAACGATTTTGGCTTTCGTTTAGCTTTCATTGTTAACAAGGCAAGCCAGGGAAATCTTGCGGTGTCACTATAAATACTGAATCTATCCGGGTTATTAAATTTCTCAAATGTCTTCCGTGAGGAGAATTTCTCAGAGATATAAGCGCTGAATGTGCGTCCAACTTATATCAATGTGGCACTTCAGATAAAGGCATTTTAATAGATGGACGGCCTGCACTACGTATGTGGCAGACCGGTGTTAGTACAACAACAAAAGACGTTCCGAGTAGTAAATATCTTATTTGGAATTAATAGTTGCTGTCATGACGGTGACACATAGGGCCTGCCGTGAGGTGTAACTTAATGAGAGTCATCACTAGTTTTCTACATTCAGGACAACTTTTACGAATTCTGGGTGCCGACTCGGTGAAATCCCACTTTTACTCTGATGGCGTTCGTAGGCTTTGAAACCTGCCAGGCCTCATGCTGAAGATAATAGTGCTGAAGCTGCGGCCCGAAATCGGCTAATTCTTCAGCCGACAGCGAGCAACATTTCGCCGACAAAACATTACAGGAAGACTGAGAACACTGTGTTCTTGTGTCAGCCCTTCCTATTCCA